GAGTGCTGCTAACTCGATAAAAGGCTGGCGCTGGCTAGAATTGTCTATGGTTCTAGCCAGGATAAAGATACCAGTTCTTCAACTCGACAATGGGAAGAACTGCTCTACCTTAGTGACTAATATGTCATTATATGACATCTAAAGAGTCAATAAAAGATATATATATATATCGCAAACATCTTTGTTTGCTACTCAAAACATTCATTCATATTTAGAAATGATCAAAATGCCATTAAAGGGCTCTGAGAGTAATCATAACAGTCTTTTTGGTTGAGAAATGTCGTGAATCGTTGCCAGGAGGGTATAGGGTTCAGGCATATGTTTTAGATACCGAATATCCGTACAAGAATAAATTGCATACTGTATAAGTTTCTATATTCAGAACTTTTCTTCTTCAAAGATAAGTTGCTTAATTATGGAGAATATTTTATTTGACTGATTCAGTTAAATAAACTGCTTGATCAAATGAGTTCTAAGAGTAGTCGTATTCAGGCTCAAACAGTTAATGTTGATAGATGCAAAAAGGTTACTAGAATATTTTTAATTTGCATGTTCATAAATAGCTTTTTTGCTTAAAATATCGGGGAGCGATATCTTTGAATACTGGTTATGTGAAATAGAAGTGAAATGCTGGTCTATAAAAGTGCATTGTATAATATCAGCATTTTAAGTTTACTAATAAGGTGTTTATACCAACAGTTTGGTCTAGTATCTCGGTTTATAACATTGATGAATAGGGTGGTTATCTTTGATGGTATGTTGTGAATCGATACATGGGTAGTCGGATTCAGACATATGCTTGGTACGCATACTTTACAATAATTGTTGTATTTGCTTACTTTTCATCTTTAACACTCTTGTTTTCGATTTGTTTGAAAATCGATGGATACTTTTCTAAAGCGATTAGAAGATTTTGAATAAATACTTAAATAGTCTGATTAGGCAGGTAAAATTGATTTCCCGAATATAATCATTTAGGTTTAAAACCTGGACTATTTTTTAGAAGGTAGTTGATTTGTCTTCATTCGAAACTGGGAGTAGACAGATTTGGACATTTACTTTGGTTACATTGTTAGATAAATGCATGATTATTGCATGTTGAATAGTTTATTGAAGATTAAATAAAAACTTGCGGAGTTGCTCCATACTTGAGACATTTTGAAATAAGCAAGAGCTTAGTATAGCCATGACGTCGAATAGTAGTTAATATGGTTTTAAGATGATAGTTGTGTTCCTAACAACATTTATGATATTAGTGTGACGAACACATTAGAGAAGTGTTCGTCAGCTAATTGCATTCTATATTGAACATGTTTGGCATTATGGCCATTACGTTGAGTAGTTGTTCTGTTAAAGCACAGTTGGCACTCCGACATAAAAATTGTTATCATGTTTGGCATAATTACCAGAACGTCGAATAGTTGTTCTGTTGAAGTACAGTTGGAACTCCGACGTAAATATTGTTGTCATGTTTGGCATTATTTCCAGTGCGTCGAATAGTTGTTCTGTTGTAGTACAGTTGGAACTCCGACGTAAAAATTGTTATCATGTTTGGCATTGTAGCCATTACGTCGAGCAGTTGTTCTGATGCAGTACAGTTCGAACTCTGACGTAAAAGTCTATTTGTATCGTGGGTTGACGGATTCATATAATGCGTCGAACGCAGGTACAATTTAGCAACCTCAAAAGGGGTTAGTCGCTTGGAGCGACAATGCGATATTTGCATGTTTTTAATGCTAGTTCTGTGTAATTTCAGGAAATACAACCCATAGTAGGGTATGGACACACGCCTAAATGAACACTGGAACACAAGTTGTCCTTATAAGATAGATACAAGTGTGATATAAATAAGATGCTTTGGACTGATTCAAGAAGACTACTTGGTTGGATTGAGATCCATATAAGACAGATATAAGAACTACAACCCATGGTAGGGTATGGAAACAAGCCTAAGTGAACACTGGAACACATTTTGTCCATACAAGATGGATACAAGCGTGATATAGGTTAGATGCTTTGAGCTGATTAATAGAAGACTTTACTTTGTTGAATTGAGATCCATATAAGATAGATACATGTACGTGTGATACAGAGAAGATGCCTTGGACTGATTCAAGGAAGACTACCTTTGTTGGAAGTCTCAAGGAAGAGACATTTTGAGCTTTGGACACTAGTTTGCCCGTTTTTTAGGAGGTTCTGGCGTAGCTGCTGGCTCGAATTTAATCCTATAATATATGTGATATTATCCCAAGTAAAAAGACATGGCAATTCTCATGTAATAATTGGTTAACTTTGGTCTAATAATTATGCATTTTGATAAAAATTAACCTATTTGTTAAATGAGCATTAAATCAATGAAAGTTGAATGCCAATAAATAGCTATTTATTACACCTATTTATTATTCTAACAACTATGTTATAATGCTCTTTGAATAATTGGGTAACTTTTTGTAATCCTTGCTACCCTAGGTGATAAAAATTAGCTAATTGTTAAGATTGGACTTATAAGAAATGTGGCAGTGAGTATTAGCAAAATATTAACTTTCCCGCTCTTTTTAAACCAAAAGAAAAATGGCTGACAAGAATGTTCAACTGTAAGAGATTTGGGTAATTTTATGATTTTATAACATTAGTATGAAAATGACCAATCAAATATAGATTCAGAAGTTACTGACATACTTGAACATTCTGCATGTCTACTTTGTGAGAGGTAAAATGTAAGTATTGCTGTTTTATTCCAGTTTAGATGGGCAAATCTTCTTTTCTTTGTGAATTTATGAAGGCTAAATTTTAATTCTTCATACAGTCAAACTGGTCAAGCATAAATGTGTTGTGTATGACCAATATTGTACCATGCAGTAAAAATTATAAGGTAGTTTATAAAGATTATGAAGATAAATACTGCTGGAGGCCTAGCCTAGAGGGTCCTTCAATAACTGTGAGCCTTCTGGTCTTCAGGACAATTCTGAATGGGTAAAATTATCAGTGATGTCCCATAATAATTGCTTATATCATCTTACATACCCAGGGCCAACCTAAAATGAAAAATTTGCGTGAGATTTCAAAAAATTGTGGTACTTTTACAGGAGATTTTTCCAAAATCTGGTAGTTTTAAAAAATTGGTAGTTTTCGCCGTAGATTTTTAAAAATCAGGAGTTATTTAGGTGAATTTTGAAACAACTGGAGTTTTTACGGTAGATTTGAAATAAAACAGTACTTTTTTAAAAAAGCGGATTATCTCCAGTTTTTTTCTAATAAAAGCAATAGTTTTTGCGGTAAATTCTGCAAAAAGTGGTACTTTTGTGGGAGATTTTTGACAAAATCTGTATAGTTTTTGCAAGAAATTTTGAAAAACTTTGGACTTTGCCATGAATTAATTTATACGCTTTGTATGGCCAGATTTGAATATTCACGCAAATTACATATACGTCACACATTTACTTCGAATTTGTGTGTCCCTACCCACCTAATTTTACATATTATTAATGTTTTTGGTTCTTATAGTAGAAAATAAATTTTGTAGACCATAATGCATCTTGGGTAAGAGTAATGCAACAAATAGGTTTTAAATAGCTAATAAATAGGTAATACTCTGTTAATTCTTAGCTAACGAATACCTAAAAAATTTATCATGCAAATTAGAGAATATTACCACAATAAATATGTACAATATTTAGGTAATATTCTGTTAACATATAGCTTATTATTGGAAGATAATCAATACATGATTATTAGATTTCTAATTTTACCTAATTATTACAATGTAATTTTCATTTAATAATCAGTCAATATTCTACATGAGCGTTGAATGTTAACAATACCTTATTATTAACACCTATTTATTAACGTAATTCTCTCTAATTTGCATGATAAATTTTTCAGGTATTTGTTAGCTAAGAATTAATAGAGTATTACCTATTTATTGTCAATATTTTCCCATTGACTTTTTTCACTTGGGATGTTGTGTGGTTTGTGGTGAAGACTGTTTAATTAGGAAATAAGTAGGTCTTTTTGGGCTTTACTTGGCCTTTTTGGGCCTTTTAAAATTTGGATGTAGTGGCCAAATCATTTTTACCTACTTTGAAATTTGTCACCCCCTAGTTAGCTTCTGGATCCACCAGTGGCTAATACCAGGTATAAATAGAAATTACCTTCTATTATAAATGCAGATCCCTCTTATCAGTTAAGTTTATTCATTATGTGATAGTGTAACTATAACAATTGTTCATATTTCAAGTTACAGAAAAATATCTGAGATATAATAGAAAAAGCAATGCTTGAATCACTTATTACAATAAAAATTAATTGATAGATGCCTTAGATTGCTGATTAACTCATTGCATCTACTTACAAAAAAGTTTCAATTTACGAACACTTCAAAACAGCCCTTTATCACCAAAATGTCAAAAACTTAGATTTATGTCTGTTTAAATATTAATCTCTATATATAACTCTGCGTCTATTTAAATCAGGTATGTACACATCTGCACATTGGTAATGCTAAGAAAAAAGAAAACATTACGGCAATTAATTGCTTTAAGTATAATCTGAACCAAAATGTGTTTTTTAGTGCGACTGATAATTATAAATATTGATTTGATTGGAGAAGAAATCGCAAAGATCCAGGGATTAGACTTTCTCTCTTTCATCACTGTGTTATCAGCTTTCCATGGTAATATGCCTGCTCATGTCTAATTGATTTGTCATGATATTCCCATGGATTTAAAATCCATTCAAGTGGTAAAACATAGAAATATCTTCAAGGTATTAAATATATCAATCACACATTGAATTAAAATGGTAAGGAAGCACCCATCTCGCCACATTTATTAATACAGTAATTAAATCATATCTTGCAAGTCAACGTAACATTATGCATCATATAAGATAGATACTCTGAGCGAAGCTCTCTTTTAAGAAATCAAATGAATGAAAAAGATAATACATAGATAGGTTAACTAACTTATTACTTATGGTATTTCATATCGAAGGTAACTTACCCTGGTTTTTCTTCGTAAAGCATCAAATCTCCCTCATGACCTGCCTTCCGTCTTTTATATTTCCGATGTGGTTTTAGTTGTGGCCGTTCAGAGAGCATATCCTCAAGGTTAAAGTTTAGACTAACTGGTTTGGGAAGGGGATATAGGTTTCTTTCATATTGTTTCGTAGGACGGAGCTTAATAGGGTTCACCCTCAATGGTTCAGCAGCGGGTTGAGCAGGGACGCCAGCATCTACTTTGTATGCTGTATCTACATTATTCAGTTGTTTTTGAGCCTCAGGGCTGTTTTGAGTGTCACTAGTATAGTTACTTTCATCTAAGTTTTTTCGTGGAAATGCGATATGATGTCCACTGCTTATTAACCGCCTGGCATCTTCTTTTTCAGAGTTTGACCAAACTAAATGTGAATTTATAACCCCAGTTGTTACTAATAAAATACCTCCAACGATTAGTAGTCCAAAAATCACTACCCGTTGTTTCAACTTCATGGTTGGCATTCCTTATGATGTCATCAATAAGTCAATTTTCGATGTTTCATACAGCGATGATCGATTATACTGTCATCCTTTTCAGCATCAATATGGTGCAGGTCCGTTGCATTTGTGTCCTCTATCAACGATAAAAGCATACTGAAGGAATTTCGTCACAAAGTTCAGCCTACAAAAAAAATCAATATCAGACTTACAACTTTACATTCATTGTTTTCATATCTTAAGCTTAAATGTGATCAATGGGAATACTGAAAAAGCTTACAAGTAACAGATGTTAGATTTGAGTAAATTAATTACTTACTTAAAGGACAAATTTAAATAGTTATGATCTAGTAATTGCTTTCATTAATGCTAGAGTTTTTTATAAATTCAACAACTAAGTTGCAATATTTGAAAATGTTGATTTTCGTAAAACTTTTAAACTCTATTGTATCAGAACCTAAGATCACAGTTGAAGAAAAAAACTTAATTTATCAAACTTTTTGGTCAGAAGTTAGCATTATTGCTATTTTTGCAAAGCAGGATTATAGCACAATCACCCTTGCACCCAATTGAAAACCCATTTGCACCTACCTGAAAAAAAAACTATTTACACCCAATGAAAATCAAGAAATATCTACATATTTGACCAATGTTGCTCTGAATTATTAACAACAATTTTATACCCACTTGAGAAAATCCCTGGGAGAAAAGTGCATTTAGTTGTTTCATTCAAGACTTTTATACAATGAGATGAAAATTTGGCTTGGCTTCACAAGTTCAGAAGCGAGAATAAGAATACATTACATAATACAGACTTAAAAGCCATGCTTAGAAATAAGATTTAAAGATTAAGAAAAAAAACTGTTTGAGTGAGGTATAACTGATACATGTACAATATATATATCGTATATCCAATCTTCTGGGAAGTCCAAATGTTCAGAGCATTCTAATCCATCAATAGAGATACAAAAATACTTTTCAAAACTTTAACAAAGTTGTGTAAATTCAATCAATGCCAAACAGTTCCACATATAATTTAATTAATCATAGAGTAAAAATAAACCATTATATAAATTAAACCTCTTTATGTCACATCGATTGGACAATAAAACTTAGTTATAAAAATTGTTAAAGTTAGCAGTTAAACAGAAAATACTGATACATGTATATTCAAATAAAATTTTAATGGCACTTAAAGTTTGCACTATTTTACTGCACTAAAGGTATGTATGGGATCACTTTACCTCACAAAGGTAAGGTTTTGTTTACCTATATGCTCACAATTTGACTCTTGTTTTGTAAGTTACATTTTAAATAGGTAGACCTTTATAAATATTATATATTACCATATTAGCATAGCATTTATGCCATGTCAGCTGTTGCAAAATCATGTATCACTTATGAAATTAATTGCAAGAGATCTTATTAAAAACATATCATTATCTAATCTGTTTCGTTTGACAATAGTTCACATTATAGATTTTCTTGCATTATAAATATGTACTTTCTGCGCAGGTATTGAGGTACAATATCTCCCGGTGACCAGTCTCACTTTCAATTTTTTGCATTAAAATGGGACTGCAGCTTTAACAATCTTTTATAAAGAGTCATAAACTGACTTAAAATATAATTTGAAAGTCAAGTGTATAAAGAAATCTATCTTTGCAGGTACAATTGCCATTGAATACATAATGAATGTGTGTCTTGGGTGAGCTATTTCAATCAATACAAGTCAAAAAATATGAATAACGATCCTTTGAAAAATTCGATAGGCAACTAGGGTTACGTGACGTGATATCAAATTACATGATATTATCTTATAATTGAGCTCATGAGCAGCACTGATGTCATATGACATCAAACCGAGGGTTTAGACTGTTTCATAAACTAACATAGAAGTACCTCACCAGCTTCGTGAAGAAATTAGAGACTTACACAACTTTTTAAAATTCATATCAATTTAGAAATATAACAATAGTATACAACACTATGTAATATGAAAATAATTTTTGAATTGAGGCCTACTTATTTCTCAAAATTTTTACAAAAATCTTAGGGGTGAGGTGGTAGCACTATAATGAGTCAATGTTATAGGCCGAACACAATATTAAGACATTTTAAGTATCAAAATCAATTTTTCCTAAAATTTCAAATTTATCAGACCATCAAACTCAAGATGGAATACTTTGATAGTAATAATAGATAATTAATACTGATATGGCATACTTTATCCCTTGAAAAGATACAATCTTCAATTTGTATTAATATAGATAGATCAATCTCCAAAAATCAGATCCGCTTCGTTGTCTTAAAACAAAGTTGGCATAGAGAAGGAACATTAAACTGCACTTCCAAGAAAAATGCCAGGAAGCACATTATCTTACATTATTGTATCTCTAAACTGACAATTTTATAAACTTAAGCTGATTTGAATCAACATATGATAGTTTTATCAGTAAAATGTTCAAACAACAGCCTTGTTTTTGTACACTGAAACAAGTTGACCCTTTTAAGACTGATCAATTTTACATGCACCTCAACTTGATGTGAACCTGTTAGTTATTCTAAAAGATCAGCTGTTCCACATGTTACCATGGTTATATCACCTCCAGTAATATTGTTCTCTGGTATGTTTACAACGTAACATGATGCCAAAAAATGATTATGTAAATAAACAAGGCTCCTGTTAGTTCTCATACTCCCCCTGGCCCCTATCCAGCTCTATTTCATTGGTTGGCTGCATTCTGTCCTGACGACCACTATCTACTGGCAGACCACCCCGCCCCACCCCTAGGATGGGGCCCAGAAACCTTTTTGGGTGTTCCTTGGCCTTAAATTGGGGCTTAAACCTTTTCAAAATCTGGGTCCAACTTTTGGGGTTTTAGGGGCCCAAAATTCCTTTTATGACTTGAAATGGACCCCCCCCCCCCCCTTGTTACCTTCCAGATCCAGCTCTATCTATTTATAATAAATAATAAGTTGCTAATAAATTCAGTCAGAATTTTTGATTCGTTGATAACGGCCCTTTCCTTCCCCCTCCCCTCATCTATTATCATCTATCATACAAGAGTTGAAGATATGTCAAGCAGACTGACGGATACAACTCTTCACATTGATTTTATGCTTGTATATGAAGTCAAAGCACACTCAGTTCCACACCAAGGGAATAATATTGTCTGATTGGACCTCAACATAATAGGTATAGGAATATATCTCAGGGTCCTACTTGATTGAGTTAACTTCGTTGAACTACAACCCCCCGTACTGCTCCACTTGTCTAACAAGTCCAGCCATGTCAAGTAAAACACTTTCCACTAACAGCAACAAACAATCCCAGTTTAACCCTACTGTACCTGCCTAGTATGTAAGTTTGAGATCATCACAAATGAACACATATTGGAAACAGACATAGTTTGAAAAGTTAACCCAAAATTGTCACCCACTGTTTTGTTGTGATTATGAACGATATCCAATAAGCATGTACATTAGAAATATATCTTACCTTTACTATCATATCATGTCCTTCCTTATATCCCAGTTGATCGATGGTTTATGGTGTCATTTTGGTAGATTAGTGCATTTACGTAGCAACCTTTTCGCTACGTTCTCTTTCCAGTGACTCCGTTTTTGTGTGTGTCGAGAATGCACCACTATTTGGTTTATGTGTACTCTACGGCGTTGAGTTTATAGGCTTGTGTAAATAATAGTCGGGTTAACAAATAAGCGGTGCAAAGTATGTTCAATCAATACTCGCACGATAACATTATCGATACAAAGACACTTAGTGTTAATCGTAATTTTTCCATTTACGATCATATATTATTTAGAATATTTAGGCCTAATGACTTTAAACAGAGTTAGCAAAGATTGGAGAGTGTAAAATGGTGAATTCTGCACTCTGGAGCAACTTCTTTATTGAAACACAAAAGCACGCGAATGTTACCCTTTGCATTCGTTTGACTTCACTTCTTAAAAGAGAGCTTCGTCTTCGCGAATGTTTCCCTAAAATCCGATTCGATTTTGTGATATCAAATATATAAAAGGGGGAAGTTGTTCAATGTCCATGCATGCTTGTCACCTTACCAGGTATTTTGAATTACCCGAGTCTCAGGAATTACGAAGCTAGGAATCAGCCATCCCCCCGAAAAAATCTTGGGGATACATGACTGTGTCAACATCACGTACTGCCGAAATCACAGATTATATTTATAATTCTTGGCCTTATTGTTAGCGATTGTTTTATAGCTCATATAAATATAACTTGTTGACAAAATCTAAATCAATGTCAAATGAACCCCAGCATGCAATAAATTAATCATAATTATTATTACGGCCCGCTGTGGTAAAACATTCTTAATGCGAACTAATATATCGCAATTTGAATGCAACCGGGGGAAGGCAACGGAAATATTAGGGCTGTTATTTCGCTAAATGATGTAAAGTTAAAAATTTGAAACTTTTAGGAAAAACTGATATTATTTAAGCCTAATTGACTATGAAAGCCTAAAATATTTAAAACGCCAAAAAGATTATATTTCCAATACCCTTTTCATTCGTTCGACTTTACTTATTAAAAAGAGAACTTCGTCTTAGTTTTGACTCTGCGCGCAATGGTGAACTTAAGAGAATAGAGAGATTTAATTCAGACAATTATTTGAAATATGAAAACGTGTTTGAGAACCCATTTGTTGAATATGTATACTGTGAAATATAAACAACACTGTTAACACGACCAATGGTTTATTCGTAGACGTTTGCATTCATCATGAAATTATAATGTTCAAGGTGAACGCCGCGCCAGTGCAGTTTTCTTAATGTATGATGACAGGAGCATTCTCTAGAACTCGTAATACGGTGGATAAATAAAGAGACAAAATATATTTTAATGAATTTAAATACTCAACCAGTTTAGTATTGTAATCATGATATAATGTACCATATGGATATTACTGTAACATCACTATCCTATGTACTTTTGCTAGAGGCATCCAAATCTATGAAGCTTTCCGCATTAACCCATTAGTATTTTTGAGATCCTGTAAATTAAAGTTGCAAAACCATTTCGTTTTTAAAAGTGTAAATCCAAAATAAAAACAAAATAAAAATTGGAAATTTATAGGCTAGTGTTCTTATTAGAGTCTCGGGTGTCTCGAGTCAAGGAAGAAAAGAGGTTAAAATTGTTTTTGATTTTCCCGAGTCTCTTTGACTTTCGGTAACTAAAAAATCGTATTAAATAATCCCGTTTATACTAATATTTTTGCTTGGTAAAGAAGTCCTCGCATTTTGTGCATTCCGTGAATTTTTTACGGCCCTACTTTGAAAATAAAAACATTAGACATATTTTCAGGATTGGGATTTTTACGATCCCCCTCGTATATATGTTTTGTGATTGTCTGAAATATAGAAAGAGTTACCATCTATGACAAGAGGAGTTAACATTACCTTTCCAAATATATATTTACAAGTACATATACATTGAGTGAAGAGAGAACATTACATTGTTAGGAGAGACATCTTTAAATGCATATAGTTGTTATAAATGAAGACTGGTTAAGAACAAAAATGATGATTCACAACTTCACAAGTAAAACACGGGTTATCAAATCACAAAAAAAATTCTTCTTTTCAGAACCTTTATTTTACTAAACAGGATGTTTCTGATCCCGTCTGGGTCATTTTTCAACTGTATGAAAACTGAACTGAAGCGCTACAAAACAATTAAATAAAAACAATGTTAAGCTTACGTCATATTAATTCACCAAAAATTCATTTTAAAATTCCCGCCAATTTATAGTTCCCTCGATCCCTGTTGATATTATTATCGTTTTTCTTTATAAAAATAGATTCTTTAATCCATCTTTCAAGTCTCTTATTGTCATTGTCCAAAACCGTAGTATTGCTCCAGTCCATTACGCAATTATTCTGAAGGACGTGGTCCGTAATGGCTGATTTATTCATCACCCCTCTCATTTTTTGCCAAGCAACATGCAAGGATATGGTCTATGGGAGAAGTGTTCATTGGTTGTGTCGCATGATGTATCGTGTTGGAAGTTCTGATCATTGATTGTGTTGTATGATACAACATCGTAACTAAAATTGTGTCTCTGCGGTCCAAAACTTTAAGCACACAGTGCACATCATCAAGGTCCAGGGATATCCTTAATACTTTACGCGAAATGATACAACTAACCCCATTGTTCTTTACCCAACCAGGGGAAACTCGATTGGAACCATTGCTAAGCAATACACAAGACAAAATCGTATGGAATAAATTGCAATAAGATGGTTATTAAGCTTGTTATTATGGTCTTACTAGTGGTTATTATTGAGTAATGGTACAGGTATCCGATATGGTATTGCAGCTTACACTTAAGTAATGGTACACGTATCCTTGGATTTTAGGCCCGAATACCGAGGTTTATTTTTTTGATTATCGTGTATTATTATTTTGTGTTAATATTAGTTAACCATCTAACTATTGGCTACCCTTTGCATTCGTTTGACTTCACTTCTTAAAATAGAGCTTCGTCTTCGTCTTGTAGTTTAACTAGACTCTGCACGCAGGGTAACTATTGGCATGATATTGATAACCTTGTTATATTAATATAGCGCATAGGCGTAGCCAGGGGGATGCAATCGCACCCCCCCCCCCTCCATAACCAATGAAAATAGAACCATTAGATAGAAGAGAAAAGTCTTAAAATGCTTTTTTTAAGCTTCTAGCTCGATTTTGAACGAAGTTGCACCAATTTTTGTAAAATTCAAAACAAATCTTCAAAAACATTTTTAATGCCACGATCGCACCCCCTCCCCCCGACTGAAAGCTGGCTACGCCACTGTAACGTGTAATCAATACGCTACATTTTGTATGTTCAATTTGTGTACTAAAAACTGTTATTAATCCACAGATTTAGATGAAGACAAGATAAAAATCCGAATCAAGAATGAAAAGGTGTCTAAGTATATAAATTTTAAGGGTAATGCATATTTGAATTAAACAGAGGCGGGTTAATTTATATTGTACTATGAATTACGCTATTATTCAAAATTGCAGCTAAGATGCCTGTTTTATGATACCCTGCGTGCAGAGTCTAGTTAAACTACGTATACACTAAGACGAAGCTCTCTTTTAAGAAGTGAAGTCAAACGAATGCAAAGGGTAGTTTTATGAAAAATATCACGAAAGATGTATTCTAGATATCAGTAGTATTCTCAGAAATTTATTATCCGAAACGGATAACATCTGGCCACTCAGACAAACAATCGCAGACATAGGCTAAGCTTGTTTATTTAACAGTTAGATTTGTTGACTTACCGATCCGTATTTCAATCTCCGGGAAGACGTTCTTTTCACTTTGTATTTGCGTGCAGTGTAATATAAGTTGATACTTTTGTTCAAAAATGTACTTTTAATGGCCATTTTATGCCTTTTATTTTCAAATTATGTTTTGATGTAAGTGTGAAAAGTCAAGAAACGTCAACCCCGACTTTTAATTTAAAAATGTTGGTTAATCACTTATGGCAAATCACAAGGTTGATGATGTCAACGGACCATGATCGTGGAAGGCTATCAATATCAGGTGTATATCGGATAGAAAATAATAATAGCTAATTTTTCGCACTGATATGATGATGACTATTCTGGCGAATCGGGTAGATATTTCTCAGTTTTTTCCGATAATAAAACTATTCATTTCTATCAATTTAACAAACAGGGTCCTTTGAATGCACATTAAAACTATAAGAGTATTTATTGGGCGTACATACTCGTTCTGTCATGTTACTTTCATTTCATTTGCAAGTTGTCCACATATTAATCCAGCGTTTTGCTTAATCAAATGTCCCGCCCATTGAGGTTTCCGACTGTAAAACTTAATATTTAATACTAACCAATGCATCAGTTAATATTTTCAGAATACAAATTTTCCATTTTTATTTCTCTGATAGATAAAGTCTCATTTTGAATCTGTTCGTGTATTAAAGAGTATGCTTTTATAATGCCGTGGTCACATTTGCTCAGATTTTCAGCACCGGCGCCCGACCGATGAGTATTTTGTTCAAAATTGTCTGATTCAATTCTGAACAAGATACTCAATCGGCCGGGCGCCGTAATGAAAATCGGAGCAAATGTTACCAAGTCATATCTGATGAAAAATCGAATGAGAACATGAACATGGATAATAGGGGCACTATTACGCTGCGTGCAGAGTCTAATTATAAACTACGAGAAGACGAAACTCTCATTTAAGAAGTGAAGTCGAACAAATGCAAAGGGTAGGGTACTATAGAAGGGGATCATATAAAAGCACGATCTATTTTACAACGCCTTTAAGTTTTGTTGCCCTTTGTGCATTTCAAAAATAAAATATCTTAATCTGATTTGTTCCACCTTTCTTTTCGCTCAGTTCTGCAATATTATGTCCATATGTTGTTTAGGATTATGTCATTTGCGAAATAGCTGTAAGACATTATGAGAATGAATATGGGAGTTTCCACGATAATGTTGTTCACATGATTTTATACACATACCTGCACAACAATCGCAGACAGAAGTCTTAATATTGTCCAATAAAAAATAAGAATCTAACATTTAATGATAACAAAAGGATTAATTGCTTAGTTCTCTTTGTTTTAGTCTTTGTTTTCTTAAATGCGAAAGTGTACCAACATCA